ATCTCCTGAATTCTGAGATATTACACAAATAAAGTAAAATCCCATTGAAGTACTCTGCTAATAGAATAGAGCAGTGTTTGTCAACTTTGGCAACTTTAAGGTGGGTGCACTTCAACTCCCAGAATTCCCCAGCCAGCATGAGAAAGGCTGACACAGAGTCTGGGATAGCTTCTCTTATGTAATCCGCTTCGTATCTTTTTCACTACAGCTCCTCTAGTCAGTATGTCAAAACTGAACACTGCATCTTATGATTATGATGATTATTATTTTTATGATTATGATCATGATTTATCACTTGTTACTTGCATGTACACTGAGAGCTTCTTCACCAGAGACAAATTCCTTCTGTGTCCAATTACGCTTGGCCAATAAAGAATTCTAAAAAAATTTTTTTAAAGTCATAAAATATGGAATTATAATCCAAAATATCCCCAAAAGGAATAAAGTCAACATTAACCAGAGTAGCAGTTACGGAATAAGGACATTCAGAGTCAAGTTTTTGTTACAAACGTTGATAATGGCCTATATCTGACTCAATGTATAGACCAACGTAGATCAAAATATTGTGATTCAAGATAGTAGCACTCTTATTATAGCTGATGGGCCTCTTAAAGGCAGTGCAAATCATCTGAAAATCTTTGCAAAGATGCAGAAACATTTCCCGAAGAAGAAATGTTTAGGTTCTCCGTTGCACCAGTATCTTCATGGCTTTTATTCTTCTGATCAGAAGTAACTCTTAAGCCTTACATGTTTTTTTTCTCTTCTGCATCAGAATATTTAGTCTGAAACTTAGCAAGTAACATTAGCAAAATTGCAGGGATTTCTTTGTATTTGCTCTCCAGCAAATACCAAACCATCAGCAAGCCTAATTCAAAGTCCTCGTTTTTGCAGAAATGTAAAGCGGGTTTTTCCATGCGAATTAGCTTTGCTCTGCTAAAATTACATTAAATACTTCGTTAATAATTTATCTGATATAGAAAAAAAATTAGGACACGATTCTCCATAACTTTGATTTTTAGAAATGTACTTGATATATGAAATTATTTGATGTATTTGAACACATTTTTGCCTGTGGTTTATTCATGCATTATTCACTGCAACAACTAAAGAATTTGGTTTATAATTTCCTCCTTTTCCTTCACACTCATTCCTCATCTAAGTCATGCAGTATAATTTGCATACTGCATGAATCCCCACTTCATATCAAACTGCTTTTCAGATAGAGAGTTTCTTCTATCTGTAACATAAATCCTGCCCAGAAATGGATGGAGGCTGAAGGGACAACAACATGGTCTCTCCAGACTATTAACAGAGTCTTTCTTTCTTTCTTTCTTTCTTTCTTTCTTTCTTTCTTTCTTTCTTTCTTTCTTTCTTTCTTTCTTTCTCTTTCTTTCTTTCTTTCCTTCCTTCCTTCCTTCTTTCTTTCTTTTAATTCATTCATTCTCTTTTTTTACATGGCATCCAACAGATCACTAAAATTTAGGAATGGGAAAAAAGTCAGACTCTCGGCACCGTCTTCCTGTTTGAAGCAGGGATGCTTCCAAACCAGACCAGTAGCACCATTGTGAAGCGAATCCGGTCTCCCCATTGACTTTGCTTGTCAGGAGATTGCAAAGGGTGGTCACGCGATCCCGGGACACCACAACCCTCATAAACGTGGGTCAGTTGCCAAGTGTCTGAATTTTAATCACGTGACCACAGGGATGCTGCAATGGTCGTAAATGGGAAAAACTTTTATTTAAAAAATGGTTATATAAAACCCTAGTGAGACTGCACCTACAATAGTGCAGCCAATTTTGGCCACCATATCACAAAAAAGATGTTGAGAGTTTGGAAAAAGTTCAGAGAAGAGCAACTAAGATGATCCAAGGCCTGCAGACTAAAACATGCAAAGAACGGCTGCAGGACTTGGGTTTGGCCAGTCTAAAGAAAAGAAGAAATAGGGGAGACATGATAGCAGTCTTCCAGTATTTGAGGGGCTGCCACAAAGAGGAGGGGGTCATGTTATTCACCAAAGCACCAGAGGGCAGGACAAGAAACAACGGCTGGAAACTGATCAAAGAGAGAAGCAACCTGGAAATAAGGAGAAACTTCCTGACAGTGAGGACAATTAACCAGTGGAACAGCTGGCCTCCAGAAAAAGTAGGCGCTCCATCACCGGAGATTTTTAAGAAGAGGCTAGACAGTCACTTGTCTGAGATGGTATAGGTTCTCCTGCTTGAGCAGGGGGCTGGACTAGAAGACCTCCAAGGTCCCTTCCAGCTCTATTCTATTCTAGTCACTTTTTCCAGTGTCGTTGTAACTTTGAACAGTCCTGCATCCTTTCTTTCCAACTATTTCCAATAATACAGAGTAGCTCTACTTTCTGGCAACAATACTTTCCATTCGTCGAGTGATCCGTCAGGAGGGAGGCTCTTATAGGTGGATTCATACAGGGGTTTGTTCACTGCCAATTAGATAAAATGGACTGGATTTTAAGGGACCAAAATGCACACGTAGCCACAGTAATGTACTGCGAGAGAGCGGCCCTCCGTCACATCCGTTTGTTAGTCAAGGCAGCCGAGATGCAATTTAATGGGCGAGGAATAAGTACAGCAGAGGACGGAGAGGATTAAATTCTGCCTGATCAGCAAGGTTTCGAAGACCGGCTCGCCAGCTGAAGTGGGTGCCATATCTATAAGTCATTTTGTTTTATAGGCCATTACGATCTCTGGAGAGAGGCTGCATAGAGACCGCTGCTTTTTGTTGAAATTAAAATGTCAGAGAAAAAGAAATAGAACAAAACAGGGAATCTGCAATTAATTACAAGGCCATAAAAATTCAATAATCAGGAGGCTGTGCTGCTATAGGCACAGCGGTATCTGATTCGGGCTAACAGGAATAGAATACATTAATCTTTTCAAATTAGTTTTTTAATCTGACAGGGATATATGGTGACGTGTTCTTTTACTGTTCAAGCAGAGCTGCTGTCTAATATATAATGCTGAGTGTCTGGAAATAGGACATCTATAGCCATTTGGTGACTGCAACATTTTCACAGCATTTATTCAGCCCACTCTGTACACCTGTCCTATAGCAATCAGGCACAACGGATTGCAGGTTCATGTCCTGGTCCCAACACTGGAAGGAAGGAAGAAAGGAAGGAAGGAAGGAAGGAAGGAAGGAAGGAAGGAAGGAAGGAAGGAAGGAAGGGAGGGAGGGAGGGAGGGAGGGAGGGAGGGAGGGGAGGAGGGGGGAGGGAGGGAGGGAGGGAGGGAGAGAAAGACGGAGGGAGGAAGAAAGGAAGGAAATGCCAAGAACAAAGGCAAACTGTGGTTTGTATTAAATGGTGGTTTATCTTACACTATCTACAATATCATACACCAGGAACAATATACATACACATGCTAATACAGCAGGATCCAACAAACCACAATTACAGCAGGATGCAGAAGACAAAGAACACATCAGCAGAGCCTTCCCTTTATACAAATGCTCTTAAAGAGACACAAACCCTGCTGAATCATTCTCATCATTACATCTTACATTTTATGTTACATAAGCTGGTTAGTTGTCACAGTCCTGTACAGCACTCAATCTGAAATTACCCCTGTCCCCCCTCCAAAGATGTTTCCTCTACATCTTGAGGATCAATAATTGTGCTACAGATCAACCGAGTGTTGGCCTGTTGACTGGGTGATTTAATTGTTGTTTCCCTTTGTATCTGATTCCATGTCAAAAATGCCACCGAAACGGGCAAAAACATCTGGATGCAGCACTTTTTAAATTTGCTAATTCAGTGCTTACCCTGGATGCCGGTCATCCTCTCTAATTATCCTGGGTTTGCAGAAGGCTGTGGGTCGCATGGCATCGCTTCTGAAAAGCCTTTTATTTTAAAACTTGTGACAAGCTTTGACAGAGCTATGACAATGATGACAGAGAATTGGAAATAGAGAGAAAGAGGTGTGAATGCTTTTGTGCACAAAGAAGAAAAGAAAGCGAATATTACAAAGCTTCTTGTCTTGTATATTTGTATGGGTTCCCCCCCCCCTTTTCTTCACAGCCTGCACAACACAACAATGCTACAATACATAAACCACAGCTAACTTCAGATAGCCTCAGACCAATCCACGTTCACACTGACCATGTAGTTTTCCTCCAAGCACCAAAAGATGAAGTAATTTTTGCAAACAGGCCATACTCTATACATCCGTAGGTCCTCAAAAGCTAGAAAGGAAGTTTTGCTCATTTCTTTTCTTTTATCCCACACAGCACTCAGTCATGGAAGGTGTGGAAGAGGGAAACTTCACCAATCTAGAATGATCCCAGTTCTGAAGTCTCTAGACCTATTCAAAGACATAGCAATTACTTAAAGACTGCAATGGATTGTTTCTGATCTAATTCTGAGATAGCTGCTTGCTGCTCAGAACCTGTGTTGCTTGGACACTACATAACTATTTTTAATAAATGGATGAATTTTGGAAAACCTTTGGTTTTTCTGTGGAATATGGGAGGCCTGAGACCATTCTGGCAGAGGACAATTTCTTAACCTTCAACAATCATAATATTAATATTAATGTTATTGGTGTAGGCCAGGGGTCTCCAAACTTGGCCCTTTTATGCTTGTGGACTTCAACTCCCAGAATTCTTCTGCCAGCATGGTTGATGTAGACCAGGAGTCTTCAAACTTGGCCCTTTGATGACTTGTGGGCTTCAACTCCCATAATTCTTCTGCCAGCATGGTTGGTGTAGGCCACGGGTCTTCAAACTTGGCCTTTTGGTGACTTGTGGACTTCAACTCCCAGAATTCTTCTGCCAGCATGGTTGATGTAGGCAGGAGTCTTCAAACTTGGCCTTCTTATGACTTGTGGACTTCAATTCCCAGAATTCTTCTGCCAGCATGGTTGTTGTAGGCCAGGGGTCTTCAAACTTGGCCCTTTTATGACTTGTGGACTTCAACTCCCAGAATTCTTCTGCCAGCATGGTTGATGTAGGCCAGGGGTCTTCAAACTTGGCCCTTTGATGACTTGTGGACTTCAACTCCCAGAATTCCTCAGCCAGGCACATGTCCACAAGTCATCAAAGGGCCAGGTTTGAAGACCCCTGATGTAGGCTTTCATGGCTAATATTTGTTGGACAATGTTGAGCTTCATGGTCAATAAAACCTGAAGCCCAACACTGCCAAATTAATGTTATTATTGTTTATTCTTGATATACTAAATTATTGGCTTTTATCTTACTTTTAAGACTTTTTAAGATTAACCATCCGGAGTTTATGGTGAACAGGATAGAAACTTTGCAAGTAAATTTAAAATAAGAAACAGTAATCTCTAATTAATTTTATTCAGATTACAACTACCTGATTTCAGGTTTTGGAACTACTATAAGAAAATGCAAAACTGATTTAATTGAAGAATATAAAAGGACAAGGAAATTAATTTATAATAGCCAATATTAGCTGTTCAGTTCTGTTCAATGTCCCACAAAAAAACACCAAAATATTCTTGTGAATGTTGATAGGCAGATAAAATGTAACAGTTAAGATTCACACATGCTGTATATCTCTGGAAACTTGGAAAGAATATTTCACTCACAAAATGCATCCGAGACTGTCAACCATCATATATGGCAGCCAATATTCACTATATTTCAGATGTTAGCTCCAAGAAGTTGACTGAAAACCAAAATTCAGAAGAAATGCTAATTTACAGTGAATAAATAAATCTCCCTGTAGGTTTATAATGATCTCTTCTCCCACTAAAATACAATCTCTTCTGCAATTTACAGAGACAGATGTGAAGAGTGGAAAGTAGCTAATCAGTGAAGGGAATAATCAATTTTGGGAAATTACAGGAAACAGCTGTAAGAAATTTATAGAGGAATACAGAAACACATACAACATCCTTATGATCCTGAGAATCTAGGTGTCATCCATGTACAAATAAAGATAAATATAACCCCAGATAGTTAACATTTTGTTGCAGTTCAGGCTTATTCAGTCACCTCACCTCCGGTTTCCTAGAAATGATTTATCAATTCAGGACTCTGATTGAAGGTTCACATTTAGGAAGCCTTAATAGAACCCCATTTTGACAGTTCCTCTTTCCTTTTTAAAGAAACAGGAGGGGGGAAAAATACATTAAGTTTGTTATTATTTTTAGCATTTTAAAAGTAGATTCCTCCCATAGATATCCTGACAGTATTACCTTCGTTAACATCCACAAAGCAGGAATCAGAATGGACAAGATGGTGGGTATTATACTGATGCAAGCCCAGTTCCTCTTCTGCGTGGGTAGGATGCTGTTTCCGCAGACACGTATCTAGAAACACAAAGGAACAGAAGAAACGTCTCTACCTCTGAAGGACAAAATGATGGAGAATAATCTCTGGGGATCTCCCTTAAGGAAATCCAGGCATAAAGTGGATGGAATTCCTAGAAGCAATGAATTAAACAAGGTTGGCCTCTGGGTAAAATTCTGTCTCATTATTAGAGGGGGGGGGAGGAGAACCCAGCGTAAAGGAGGGGAAGCATTGATTCGGAATATCCCAGAGAAACCTTGACCTGGGTTGCCGCTATCTATGGCACATCTAAAGCTGCTCAGGTCTACCCTTGCTTTATGACTCATCTGAGCTCAGTCCTGCACCCAGGCAGGAAAAACTGAATGTGCAGGTACAGAATAGGCAGGACCTGGCTCAACAGTAGCAACGGTGAGAGGGATCTGGGTGTCCTGGTGGGACACTACTTAAGGGTGAGCCGGCGTAGTGCTGCAGCTGCCAAGAAAGCCAATGCAGTCCAGGGGTGCATCAACAGAAGGTCAGCATCTCAAAATTTGGGTGGTGTTTTCCCAAAAAGCAACTGGACTGTTTTTTCAGAAGAAAGAAGAAGAGAAAAAGAGGAAGAGGAAGAGGAAGAAGAAGAGGAGGAAGGAGGTGGAGGTGGAGGAGTTGTTTTGCTTCTCATCCAGGAAGCTTCATCAGTTGTGACTGGAAAAAAAAACAGTCCAGTTGCCTTTGAGACAACTACGATCTGGTCTGTGATGCCATTGATAGACAGAAGGACCGCATCAAGATCGTGAGAAGTGATCGTACCGCTTTATGCTGAACTGGTGGGGCCACCCTTGGACTGCAGCATACAGTTCTGGTCACCACGATTCAAGAAAGATGCTGAGACCCTAGAAAGGGTGCAGAGAAGAGCAACAAAGAGGATTAGGGGACTAGAAGCTAAAGAGGACGATGAAAGGTTATGGGAACTGAGAATGTCTATTCTAATGAAGGAAAGGAGTAGGGGTGACATGGATTTTCTAATATTTGAGGGGCTGCCACGGAGAGGAGGGAGTTGACCTATTCTGCCTGTGAATGGTTAAAGGAGCTAGGTATGTCTGTTTCAACGGCCAGAGAAGCAGGAGGAAAGAAACGCCAATTTAAGACTGTGACGGGGCTTCCTATCGTGTGTCATGGCCGCAAGTCAAGACCTTTATCTTCTGTAGAAAAGAAAGGTGCAAGAGAAAGATTAGTATCTTTGGTTCAAAGAACTCTTATTTTTTGCTGGAAGCCTCACTTGTAAACAGGTCTGGCATTCGGTATTTCTCAATCCTGGAGTCCACCCATCTTCAAGGGGAAAAAGAGGAGAGATACTATGTTGGGCGAAGCATCACTTCCTGCTTTGCTCCTATTTGAATTAACCATACATGTTCATTCAGTAAAAAGTCAACATCTGCATAAGGAACAAGCCATTCAAGTATTAAAATCACAGAAAGAAACACAACTGAGTTCGTTCGGGGTACAACTCCATTCGGGAACAGACACAGTTGTGTTTCTTTCTGTGATCTTAATACTCCTTTTCTGTGGATAAATTATTTAGTATCTGCTGGATGTATGGGCTTCTGCAGGAGAACAAATGATGGCCCATGCGTGACAAAGTCGTCATGGAAATGCCAGAATTTATTTCACCCATGTCATCCTTTTGGCAAAATCTGTCACTCTCTGGAATGCATTCAGTTCGCAATCAATTAAGGCAGTCAATTCCTTTCCTTCCTTTGGCTGTTCCAAAATGCAAAATCTCACAGGGCTGAATTTGGGGGATTTTGGATACCAGCGTTGCAGCCTGTCAAGATTTTGATCGATCTTGATTCTTCCTGCTACAGTGTTAACTCTCCCTTCCAGCTTCATGTCATGTGCAAGCGTGACAGATTTAACTGTATAATTTCATCCTAGCAACTTACGAAAATGTCAAACAGCATAAAGCCTAGTAAGATAGAAGGAACTTTTTGCACTTCTCCTCGTGTTGACATCTACTGGACCATTTTCAACCAGAGGTGGATCTACAGACTGGAAATATTATAAATTTATCAACTTGCAGATAGGAATATCAAGGGAGACTTTGGTAAATGCATTAGTGAGATCAAATTATTGTCAATGGCCTCCCCCAATCAATATCTCAACCAAAGAAAGAGATGGAATCACTTCAAGGAAAACATGTTAGCTCTGAATTATTAATCATCCTTTTTCAACTACTCATGAACAGATAATTTAATAATCTGCCCTAGAATTTTGCTGTTATCAGTTTGGGACGGCCAATTTCTCAGATCTTTTTTTCCACAAATAGCCTCATCCCCCATCTTCTGATTTTCACATTTACTCCAAGAATTCTCAAGGAATAAATGTGCAGAATCCAATAATAATGTCAAGAATTTCAGTTTATATCAATGTCATGGGATTATATTCACTTAATCCTGGATATTTCAAGTTGAAGGGTATGTTCTGTATAACCATATCTTCATTGGTCGTAGGTGCAAGCCTTTTTTTTTAAATGAAATTTTTGGTACTTTTGCTGGTTTAACGTGCTTTCCATTATGGGAGAAGGCCAAACAAATAACAGTTCAGTAATTCTGTCTTTTCCAGATCATGTCTGGCAGCCAATCCCCTTCCTTAACCATCTCACTCTGAACAGAAACAGTTTTATACCTCTTTCATAAAGACCTCTTTATCTGGACCTTTACCATTTCTGGAAGGAAGGAAGGAAGGAAGGAAGGAAGGAAGGAAGGAAGGAAGGAAGGAAGGAAGGAAGGAAGGAAGGAAGGAAGGAAGGAAGGAAGGAATTAGTAATAGCACTTAGACTTATATACCACTTTACTGTGCTTTACAGCCCCTCTCTGAGCAGTTTACAGTCAGCCTGTTGCCCCCACAATCTGGGTCCTCATTTTACTGACCTCGGAAGGATGGAAGGCTGAGTCAACCTTGAGCTGGTCAGGATCAAACTCCTGGCAGTGGGCAGTGAATTAGCTTGCAATACTGCATTCTAACACCTGCGCCACCACGACTTCTTATAAGCTATATAATACAAAAGCCTACATAATATAAAAGCGGAAAGGCTGGACCAGATGCAAGCGGAATGCAGACACAAGTCTTTGGATACTTGCAGTGGTCAACTGGAATGGCAGAAGCCTCTGAAGAAGATTTTGGAAGGGGAAGGTATGAAGTGGGAGGAGATCCAGCCAATGGACAGGGTAACCCTCCTTTTTGGGACGTTTCCTTTGAAAACAGCTGGAAATTAGCAAACAGAAGAGAATATTTTTACCTTGGGGTTGAACTGTGGGGTCCTTTATGCTCTCTGAGCTTGGTTGTTTCCTTGCCGACGTTTCCTTGCCAACCAGGTGACATCATCAGTGCTAGGTAATCAGTGCTAACACGGATGATGTTACCTAGTGGGGTAATGAAACGTCTGCAAGGAAACAACCCAGCTCAGAGAGCTCCAAGGACTCCCAAAACAGATGCATCTGCTCTAAACTTTTGAGGGTTTTTTCTTTATTTAGCAGTCCTGATCAGACCAACTGCTTGCCAGTTAGAAGGCTTTCTCTTCACCCTCTGTCCTTTTTGGTAGCTAAAGAAAGTTCTGGGCCTGTCCTAACCCAGTCAAAGTTCATCAAAGCAGCCCCAAATTCCTGACATTTATTGGGCTCATTCTAGGCCAGCTCTTAAAATTGGAGACAAGAAAATGCAGGGAAGAAATATTTTCTAGCACCGTCGTTTTTACTTCTTCTTTTTTCCCCCTAATCAGGTAACAGCAGTTTTTCTACACTTATTTTTCACTTAGTGTAGTTTTTACAGCAGCTAAATTATTCTGACATACTTTCGGAATGCCAGGTGATTTACGCATCCAGAATCCCTTCCAAAAAGCATGAAAGAAGGCCTCACTTAATTCTAAATAAAAGTCCTTTTGGTGATGATGCTCTTAAGGGAAGTAAGTTTTAAGCGCAGCTGCGCTTTGACAGCAAACTTACATTCATTTTACAAGAACAGAAGTTATGAGATCAGTTACCCGATGAGTGGCAGGGATATAAAAACAGCTCGGGGTGACTGTTGAACTAAAAGATGTCTTGAATTATTGCAAAATGTATATATTAAGAATTTCAACAAACCAGGAGGAATTTTGGAATGTCACAGAAAAGCTGCTTCGCAGTTTCAAAATACAATCCTCTCATAATGATTCTTTCCAAATTCAAAGAAGAATATAATGGGGAAAGCACACATGTGTATTTACATACTTCTGTCAATTCTATTTATATGATATGTAAGTGATTATTGCTTATTGGCTAAAAAGAATCATATGCACTTAGAGTAATCCTGACTTGTTCATGAAAATAATCTGTTCAAAGAGGAGAAATATGGGGGCATGATGGAGAATTTAAGACTTCAATTCTACCAAATGACTGCACTTATTTTAATTTTTTTTGGGGGGGGGGAACTGTGTAGGAGCAGATGGGCGAATCTGGCTTTGTATAATTTAGGACATGCTGGCTGGGGAATTCTGGGAGTTGAAGTCCGCACCTCTTAAGGTGGCCAAGATGGAGAAACATTGATTTAGGAAACACTTCGGTTCTGTTATTCTTACAGCCCACAAAGTATTGAAGAGAGTTGTGTCGAATATTCCTTGGGTACATCTGCAAATACCCTTGAAAGTAAAACTTATAAAAGATGCAACGCCTGTTTGAAACGTGGAGTGAAGAGGTGTCCAAAGAGGAAATTAACCCTGGAACTGGAAAGGATCCAAATGGATCGTTTGAGCAGCAAAAGGAGCAGCGTGGATTCCAAGCCATGAGATTGCTTCCATGTGACGGGGCATCTTCCATTTCTCGTTCATTTTTCCATCTATGCCTATAAATAATGATGTGATGATAGCCACAGACACTCCTCGGTTATCCTTGGGAATCCAGAATTTGTCTTTCATTCAACAGCCGTGGATATAAGTAAAATAACATTAGGCCTGGCCTAGCGGCACACAGGAAAATTATCCAAATAAAGTTTGTTCAGTCTGCCAGGC